AAGGTTGCTGTTAAAATTTTAGAACTTAAAAAAACTCACATAGTCTCTGCACCATCCTGCAAATTTGGAGTCTCTTGCTTTTTGCATTGCAGTTGGAGTAATATCCGGAATATTTAATGTCATCTATTCTTCAAACATCCTGTACACATCAATATTTTAATTATGTTATAAATATGTAATTGTATTAGATTTTCAGCATATTAAACTACCTTTCATACTGAGCAAATTTTTCACAGTTGAGCAACATAAATGTCTAGAATGGTGTTATCTTCCTCATTCAACCAACCAGATGAGCATTTTCCACTGATTCTCCCTTCATGGAAAAACAAGGGTGGTACATCCAAATCATTGTATGAGAAACGAATATCATTCGGACCTTCTTGAATTCTCATGATTTCAGGATGCCCAAAAAAGTAGAATACGCATTTGCAATCTCCTCGTTAATCCATTGTGCCACTATCGAACCAGCAATATGAGCTTTGTTTTTGACCATCTTCTTCAAATGGTACATGTATCTCTCAAATACATACATCCACCTAAAATGGACAGAAGCACCTAAGGCTACTTCATCTGGAAGGTGCACAAGAAGATGTTCCATAACATCGAAGAACGATGGAACAAATACTTTTTCAAGTTACAAAGCTTAACGGCGATATTTGCCTTTAAAAGACCAACATCTGATTCTTTCAAGACCTTCGAAGAAATATCTCGGAAGAAAAGAGAAATATCTGTAAACAAAACACTAAAGTTATAACAACAATTATAAAAAATTTTATAAACATTACAATAAAGAAATACCTCTAATCGCTGTGTGAACATTTTTTGGAAGAAGTTCAGCAATTGCAAATGGATAAAGCCGCTCCATTATGACATGACAGTCATGACTTTTCAGTCCATGTAGCTTTAAAGTGCTTTCATCAATACATCGACTAAATTTGGAAGAGTAGCCATCGGGAAATTTGATGGCATTTTTCAGCCATAGAAGGAATTATCGTTTTCCGGCATTTGATAACCTAAAAATTGGCACATGCATTTTTCCATCTTCCTTTATCTCTAAATCCCGTCTTTTGCATATTCCCGGAAGATCTAATCGACTTTTGATGTTGTCTTTAGTCTTTCCGGGAACATTTAACAACGTGTTGGTCACATTATCGAAGAAGTTTTTCTCAATGTGCATGAAGTCAAGGCTATGCTGAAGAAGATGAGTTTTCCAATACGGTAATTCCCAAAAGATACTCTTCTTTACCCAATTATGAGTAACTCCGTAACCAGATATTGTCTTCGATGGATTATCATGTCCATTCCCTCCACAGGTAACAGCTTCTTTTAAACCTTCGATATTATTTATCCCACATAATATTTCTTCCCCAATCAACCATGGTGGAGGAGGATCCTTAACGGTTTTTCCCCGCCTAAATGCTTAAGTGTTTTTCCTGTAAGGATGATCTGCATCTAAAAATCTTCTGTGGCAATCAAACCAACTATGTTTCTGTCCATTAGGCATCCAGAATGCATCTGTCTCATCTTGACAATATGGGAATGCCATTCGACCATGAGTTGTCCACCCTGAAAGCATCCCATACGCAGGAAAATCGCTTATTGTCCACATCAACACTGCTCGCAATATGAAACTTTCTTTCTTTGAAACATCATAAGCCTCCACACCATCCTTCCATAAGCTTTTTAATTCTTCAATCAACGGCTGCAAGTAAATATCTAAGCTTTTCTTCGGATGTTTAGGCTCGGGTATTAGTACCGAAAGTAACAAGAATTCTCTTTTCATGCACATTCCCGGAGGTAAATTGTATGGAGTTACAATAACTGGCCAAACAGAATGTGCTTCACCACTCATACTAACCGGATTAAACCCATCTGTTGATAAGCATAGATAAATATTCCGACTTTCAGCAGCAAATGCATGATATATCTCATTGAAGTGTTTCCACGCTATGGCATCAGACGGATGATGCATTTCACCTTCCGGAGACACATGTTCCTTATGCCACCGCATATTAGAAGCTGTTGCCTCGAGTTGGTATAGATGTTTTAGACGCTCTGTAATCGGCAAGTAAAACATTCGCTGTTTTGGTTTGTTTTTCCCTTTTCCATTGTTCGGATAATAGCGATCTTCTCCACAAAACTGACATTTGACCAATTTCGCATCGTCTCCTTTCCAAAACAGCATACAATTTCTTCATGCAAACACCAATCTTCTGCACGGGTAACCCAAGAGCTTGTGTCAGTTTTTTTGTCTCGTAATATGATGACGGAGTTTTATTCGGCTGCGTAAGCATATTTTTAAATACTTCTGATATCTCATCTACACAAACTTCCGCCAAATTATAATATGTCTTTACTTTCATCATCCGTGAAGCAAGCGGCAACTGAGATATTCCTTCTGCACACCCTTCATAGAGAGGTTGGGTCGCTGCTTCAAATGCATCAAAAACATTATCATGATATGGTTCGGCTATCTCCGTCTCTTCTATATGTTTTGGCATGTGGGGTGGCGCAATGTCCTCTTGTATTACTGGAATCTCCTGGTAGCAATCTTCTTGACCATTCCAAGTATGATTCTCCCACATTCGATCTTCACCCGTCGAGTTATTCGCCCCAGAATTCTCACCAACATCATAGAATTTCTCTCCATGATTCCTCCACACATAATAATTTCCCTTAAAGCCGTATTGGAATAGATGTCTTGAGACAACTTTCACTTCTCTTTGCTTCACATTTTTGCATCGTGCACACGGACACAATAACGTTTGTCTTTCTTGATAATCGGCTTGATTACATGCAAATTGAAGAAATGCATTATTACCTCCAATGAAGACTTCAGAAACAGAATTGCTTCCTGGATCAAACCTTTCATCCATCCATTCTCTTGATTCAAAGTAGAAGGACATAGTGTATTTCAAAATTTTGAGAGAGAATAATGAGTTGAATATTTCACTCGGGTAGGTTTGATTATTAACTAAAGCCACGACAGAGCCACTATAAAACCGTGGCTAATATAAAAAATTACCTTTAAGCCACGAAAAAGCCACGAAATGAACGTGATTAACTCGCTCTAGCCGATCTATGTCGGCACAAAATACCAAAACACAACAAAGCCACAAAGAAACAGTGGCATATTCGTGGCTTCTTATGTCGGCAGGAAAAAAAGATATGCCACTATTAGTTTTCGTGGGAAAAGCGTGGCTTTTTGGCGTTACAACGAAGACATCGTAGCTGTTATCGTGGCTCTATTTGCCACGAATTTATTTCGTGGGTGTTTCGTGGCTTATTTCCATATGTTTCGTGGCTTTTTTTAATTCGTGGCTTTTTCGTGGCTGTGTCGTGATTTTTACCGTTTAGCCACGGTATTGTAGTGCCTTATTCGTGGCTATGCGGCAGAATTTTACTAGTGGAATTCTCTTAATGATTTTTAATAATTTTAAGGTTATGACTAGAGTTGTATTCAGTTGATTGATTATTAATAAAATGAGTTTTCTTGAAGAGGTTTCTATAAATCACTGAAAAGAATATTCTCAAACCCTAGTATTCAGTTATTTTTAGAATCAACGGATCTAGGATGACATTGATTTTTAGGTATTTTGGACTAAATAAAAATCTTTGTATTTATCATAGGTTCCACTACTTCGCGAGGTGAGGTTCATGGTTTCTACATATCCAAATTTGACTATATAATCTCTGGATTTGGTCCCCAACCAAACGAGTTTGTATGGTGCTCCCAAAACACTCATTTTGATAGTTAGGATGGTGCTTTCTCGTGAGGGATGATAAGCTTTATTCTTCCAATATCCCACTCTGTCGACGTTGGCTTCATGAGGTCTGCTATAGTAGCGGTCCTGAGGAGAAGCCAAAGAAGTATAGGCTTCTGACTTTTTTTTTTATGTAAAATATTGGCTAAAATATTTGATAAAATATTAAATATTTTAGTGGTTAATGAAAATCAAAAATAAAGATGTGGATGATGAATTTAATTTCTAACTACAACAATAAACTTTTTTTATTAAGTGATTCCAATCTATAAATATTCAAGACCGATACTGTTGCTACTGTTTTGAAACGATGCTCTTTGGGAGGAGGTCTCATCGGTCTAGCTTGGTTGGTAAGGCTTAGCCACGACCAGATGTTTATGTCCATAAAGAAACCCACTGTAGTTTCTTTATGTTTATATTTCAATTAACCCTAAAAGTAGTCTAAGACGAACAGATCAAACTATTAACGCATATGTTATATATTCTTAACAATACGGTCATTTAAAACATATCGAACGTGATACACATGGGCGAATCCGGAGAATCTTGTTACTGGCTGAATAAATTAAGGGTGAGAACATAAAAATAATGAAATATGGAATTAATCGTGGATTGATATGCGTTGCAAAAATCAAATTAAGTTACCATATTGAAGAAATATAATTAAATTCCTAAGTTCAAAAAAATATAATTAAATTCCTTGTACTAAATTTTGATTACCCAAATTATTTTTGGGTGCACGTGCGCTCGTAACAACAAACCTAGATGATACATGACTTAACGGCAACATATTGATTTTTTTTTTGTTTTACAAATTGAAATTACATGCCTTTGCATATTCTGGAATCTGAAACCCGAAACTCCTAATTCATTGTACCACTCGGTCGATGATAGTCTCGCACACGTTAAATTCCTTTTTTTCGTGCTAAAACGCACGTTAAATTCTTTTCAAGTAACAAACTAAGAAATTTTTTAAAAAAACATATATCATCCTCACGTTAAATTCTTTTAGAGTAACAACTAACCAACTGAGAAATTAATAAAGAAATTAAAGCATATGTTATCCTCACGTTAAATTCTTTTAAAGTAAGACTAACAACTAACGAACTGGGAAATTATTAAAAAACATATATTGTCCTCTTTTTTTCCCCTCCACTATCCAGATTCTCTACCATTTCTCGTGTGTATATATATGTAGAAGAGGCCAAAGAGATTTCAGAACACAAGCTCAAGTTATAGATTGATAGAAATATATACTCTTATTGATTTTTTTTGAACAAAATATATACTCTTATTGATATCAACTTATATCTTAGGTAAATACACTATTGCATAACACAATTTGTGTCTTTGTTCTGAGTTCGCGGGTTCACTTACATACATACACAGTACTGATGATGGGAAGAACTGGGATCGTCAAAGTACCAAAGCTGCTGTTAAGGTCAACTCCACAACTCTTCTCATCATTGTTCTTTTAACTAATCAAATGATACTATTAACCACAAAACATGTTTTAGAACACATAAATCTTCATGATAACTGTTAAATAAACTAAAACTTTTTGATATATATTTTTTAAGAAACTTTGTTAAAATAATATAAAAAAAATTAAAACCGTCGTCAAAACCTTATTAAAAGAATTTCTAACGATATTTTTTTACCAAACATTCTTTCTTAACTGTCTTTATATAACTATCTGAGTGGTGTTGCAAGAAACTCTAGAAGTAAATGTGCAAGTCGAGTATAGAAAAATTGGAGGTCTTATGTGAATTAAGAAACAAAAAAAATGTAAATTTATTTTTGTTGATGATTTAGGAGTTGGGAGCAAGTCCAAGGACGAGCAGGGATAAGCAGCAAAGCTGCAAAACCAAATCCGATGGTCATCGACTACTCTAAAGATATTTCTGATCATAGGGTAGAGATCAACTCTGGCTTCGAAAAGGAGTGGGCTCCACACCCACGTACCGGAATATTCTTTCCACCCGGACAAGCGTCGGTGATGGTTGGTGTCTCTGAAGGTGCTGCTTCTTTTGACATGACGTTTTGGCTTAGGAACGTCGACGGTGTGGACAAACCTGATCCTGATCATCATTTTCCTAACTGAAACAAAAAAAAGTGTAACAATAGTGTGTCAAAATTATAATGATATATACGATGTATAACTATAGCCAAATAATCCTGAGGAATGGTGTGTACGCACATTTGATTAATTATATAATTTCGTATAATGTGTGATGGTTCAGTAGCAATGTTTAATTAATTAATATCTTCGTTGTCATGATCATTTTGTGTGTGCTAGTTTATACATCGACTAATTTATGCAGAACTTCCGTATGAGTTTTTTGTGTCGTATTAGTATATATATTCTCACCTGGGGGTTGAGAGATTCTTTACACAAATTATAACTGACGTATCGCAATAATGCTCTGTTTTGTTTTTTGGAAAATATTGCTTCTTAGTTCTTCTTTAGTTTGGGTGGTAAGGTCTGGTCTGGTCAGATGTGAAATGTAATGTTGGTGTTGCTTGGTCGAACAAAAGAAATGTGACAGGTGGTGCGTGAGTGGTTCGTAATGTTTCTGTTCAGGTTCTTATTCATAGTCGTAGGGCCTTCTCCGTCCACAGATCCTTTGAGGAAGCAAGGTGGAATAATAACTCTTTAAGCAATAGAAAGTATGAAGTTTCATACTTCATAGGTTCAAAAATGTGGTGTTTTCTTTGGAGAATACTTATCTGGTGGAAGCGGTTAACAGACCCAAAGCATGGCCCTCCTTCAAGGCAAAAGCTCATGTGATTAGAAATTTAATGGCTTCTTTTCAGAACAAGAGCTTTGTAAATGATCACAGGGACGTGAAAAGAGGTGCTCATCTCATTGCCTTAAGCAATTTTCAACTATGTTTCAGACGATCATATGTGGCAGTTGGTCACCCGTACTGGCTAAGCTTCGTGAACTGTTTTAACAATGAGAGAGTTGCAGCCACTTTTTGGTGTCTTCCTAGTGTTCATTCAATCTTTTGTTTTCGTTGTGGTTGTATAGATTTTTGGTACTGTACGGATAGGGAGGCCTCTGTCTTTTGTGTAAGGATGTTTTCCCGTTTGTGTATTGTAGAATTAGATATTAAACTTGCTTGTTTATTCACATCGACCTTGAGTCATATATATACACATTGAGAGAATCCGTTTCCTATCACAACCAGGAAACTTAATGATTGAGACAAATCAATCATTATCTACTTATCTAAATAATATACACACTTATCTCAAATATACATGTTTATCTCCAATACTCCCTCTCAAGTTGGAGTGTAAAGGTTTCGAACGCCCAACTTGGACAGCAAGGTACTGAACTGAGCACGACCCAAAGCCTTTGTCAAAATGTCTGCAACCTGGTCTGTAGTACGAATATGATGAAGGTTAATGAGGCCAGCCTTAACAGCATCACGAACCGAATGACAGTCATTTTCAATATGTTTAGTACGCTCATAGAAGACTGGATTAGAAGCAATGTAAATCGCAGCTTTGCTATCACAAAATAATCGAGTGGGCTTCTTCTGTTCAACATCTAACCCTTTTAACAATTTGCGAAGCCACTTGACTTCTCGCAGACCAACTGACATACACCGATACTCTGCTTCAGCGGAAGAATGAGAAACTGTTTTCTGCTTCTTAGTCTTCCAAGAGATAGGCAAATCACCCAACATCACGACAAAAGCACTAAGAGAACGCCTTGTCAAAGGACACGCAGACCAATCTGAGTCACAATACACGGTGAGAGAGAGGTCTGAACTGGAACTAAGAAAGATACCTTGACCAAGAGTACCCTTGAGAAACCGAACTACTCGAAGAGCAGCTTGCCAATGAGCTTCCTTAGGCTTCTTCATAAACTGAGCCAGCACATGTACTGAATAACTGAGTTCTGGCCGAGTATGTGTCAAATAAATGAGTCGCCCCATTAAGCGTCGAAACGGCTTTGGATCAGACATAACCGGACTATCAACCACTGCCAAACCATGATTCTGTTCAAGAGGAGTACAGCAGGTTTGGAACCAAGATTACCTGTATCAGCAACAATGTCCATCGCATATTTACGCTGAGACAAAAACATTCCCTCTGGTCCTCTACTTACTTTAATGCCAAGGAAATACTTCAACTTGCCCAAATCTTTCATGGAGAAACACTTACTCAAATATTCCTTGAACTTCAGAAGCATGTGACTGTGATTACCGCATATTATGAAGTCATCTACGTAAACGAGTACTCGTATCTCGACTCCTCGTCGAGTGTAGGAGAAGAGTGAATAGTCGATTAAACAAAACCAAACTTCACCAGTGCATCCGACAGTTTCTTAAACCAACAATGAGGGGCCTGCTTAAGGCCATAAAGCGACTTACGTAGACGGCAAACTTTGTTAGGATGAGTGTGACGAAAGCCTGGAGGAAGCAACATATACACCTCCTCTTCTCCATGCAAAAACGCATTATTAACATCCATTTGGTATACCTCCCACTGCTTTGAAGCAGCTATCTTCAACAATGTACGAACTGTTGTTAACTTAACAACAGGAGCAAACGTCTCGCCATAATTCTCACCAGAAATCTGCTTGTTCCCACAGCCCACAAGACGAGCCTTATATCTCCGAACCGTCCCGTCAGCATCATACTTAATCTTGTATACCCATAGACTACCACAGCTTCTTTAAAGTGTCTAGATTCTTTAGCTGGAGTTATAGTAGCCAAAAACACACGATGCTTGGGAGAAAAGTTAGAATCAGAAATATAGTTGGTCAGGGGATAAAGTGAATTACCTTGGACCGAGACTGAGGACTGAATGATGGGAGCGTGGGGGGGGGGTTATTGACGAGATACTCACTAATGCCTGCGCTTCTGCACTGTAAGTGATATAATCCTTCAGCCTTACAGATGGTTCACGATGTCGCAAACCACGACCAAAAGGCTCATCAGAATTCGAAGCAGACGGCGTTAAACCTGAATCCGAAACCTGCACTTCATCAGATGCAGGTGGCAAAGCCTCAGACTCCGAGGCTACCACCTTTTCAGCTGAACTTTCAGTTGTTAAAGACTCATCAGCAGTCTTACTACTCTGCACAATTTCCTCTGTTTCCTCATCTTCTTGTGCTGTGACGACAACAGGCAGTGGTGACTTCTGACTATTGTTAACTACATTCGAACTCCCCCTCACTACCAGTGGCATAGTCTCAACCCAATCTCGATCAACGTCTTCATGATTCAGTTGTGGAGAGACAACAGAAGAACTATCAGTAGCAAACGGGAACACATCTTCTCGAAAAATCACATCTCGTGATACAAGAACCTCACAACGTTCCATATCATACACTTTATATCCCTTTTTACCAAAAGGATAACCCACAAAAACACACACACGACTCCTTTCTCCAAATTTATCCTTATCACGGGTCACACGATGCGTAAAACATGAAGAACCAAATACACGCAGCAGTGATAGATCAGGTTTACTTCCATGAAGAACCTCATACGGAGAACGACCTTTAAGAATTTTTGTAGGTGTCCTGTTAATGAGATAAGCTGCAGTAAGCACTGCTTCTCCCCAAAATTTCACTGGCATACTCGCTTGAAATAATAAAGCACGTGAGACATTGAGAATGTGCCTATGCTTGCGCTCTACGCGGCCGTTTTGTTGGGGTGTAGCAACACATGAAGTTTGATGTATCATTCCATGCTCATGAAAATAGGAAGCGAGACACATGAACTCGGTTCCATTGTCACTACGAACAACCTTGACTGTTTTGCCAAACTGTTTCTCAGTGTAAGCAAAAAAATTAACAAGAACATGACGAACTTCGGACTTTTCAAGCAACAAATACGTCCAAACTGCTCGTGAGAAATCATCTACAATAGTCAAGAAGTAAACAGCACCACAGGAAGATGGGACTCTATAAAGGACCCATACATCAACATGAATCAATGAAAAACAATCCTCTGTTTTATTAATACTGTCGGGAAACACCTCTCTAGTTTGTTTGGCTCGAAAACAAACTTCACAAGAACTAGAGCCAGCAGAAGTAGAAGAAAACATGGGTAAAGATGAAACAACTGAAAAACTAGGATGTCCTAAGCGTCGATGCCACAAAGCCTGATCCGACGATGCAGTAACCGAGTGTATCTTAGCAGAAGCCACATCCGTCAAATAATAAACCCCACCACGCTCTTCACCGGTTCCAATCAGGGTCCTCGAGAAACGGTCCTGCAAAACACAAATTGTATCAGTAAAAGTAGCAAGACAACTTGTTTGTCTCAAGATCTTGGAAACCGATATGAGTGTGCAATTCAATGAGGGCACATATAGAACTTTTGACAACGAAACCCTGTCTGAAAGAAACAACGTTCCCATACTCGAAGCAAACGTCTTGCTTTCATCCGCAAACCCCACCGAACTTGGCGGAATAGACACCACATCAGTTAGTAAAGACAGCTGACCGGTCATATGATGTGACGCACCGGTGTCTAGAATAACATCACCAAACTTATTCTTACCAGATAGTTTATCTGAACTCGACTTGTCTTGAATCATCTGTGATAGAACCTTCCACTGCTCTTGTGTGAATTCAGGGAAAGCAGAAGCGTTAGAACTTGTTGCATGAGCAGCTGTAACTTGACTCTTAGCACGACCAGATCCATTGCTATCCCCTCTGCCACCACGTCCTCTACCTCTCCCTGCACTACTTCGCTCTGCTCGCTCATTCCACCAATCGGGAAAACCATTCAGAGTCCAGCAGTCTTTCTTTTCATGTCCAGTTCGACCATAGTCTGTACAACTGTTCACACGATCTCTTCCACGCAAGATTGATTCACTTTTAAAAATGTTCTGATTGTCACTCTGTGCAGAGATCTCACCTTGACGTGCAACAAATCCGACTGCATCTTGTTGTTGATCACGACCACGCGAAGCCATTAATCTCTGCTCTTCTCTGACTACTTTGGAGTATACTTCACCAATTGTTGGCAGCGGATCCATTCCAATTAGTGTCGTACACAATATTCCATATCTTGAATCATCAAGACCCATCAAAAATTGATGTACTTTATCATCTTCTCTTTCTTTCGAGATTTCCAGAGCCACACCACAAGTACACATTGGTAGTGGTCTATAAATTGCATACTCTTCCCACAAGGAACACAGACGACCATAGTATTCGAGAACACTTTGACCATCTTGACGACATGAAGCCAAATTGGCTTTGAGCTGATGAA